TGAGAAACAATCTTCTTAGAAACAGAAAAATAGGGGATAACACCAGGCAGATGTCTTGTTGAAGGTTGGTCAGTGGCCCTCTGGGGAGGAAAAGAGCAGCTCTCTCCACTCTGGAAAGGGCTTGAGGGCCCCCTTAGGCAACGAGGGCCCCCTTAGGCAACCAGAGCCCCGTAGCTGGCCTCACTCCTTTTTTACCAACTCCTATAAGGCTGGGGGTGGGCACATTCCTACAGGTCAGCCCCTTGGTTAGTTTTCTCTAGCTCCCACGGACCCTTTCAGAACCCACATTTTAGCACACTACAGCCACACTGGCCTTCACTGTGTTCCTGGATTTCTCCCTCTTCCCACGCCCATGCTCATGTGTCCCCCTCCCCGCCTGACTTCCTTCAGGCCTTTCTCAAACCTCACCTCAGGGAGGCCTTGCCTGACCAACGTGGCTGACATGGCGGCCCCCAGGTACGCCTTATCAGTCGCCATTCTGTTACCCTAAGCTTTTGTGCTTGCTTTTTTTTTTTTTTTTTAAAGATTTTATTTATTTATTTGACAGAGAAGGAGAGAGAGAGCACACAAGCAGAGGCAGAGAGAGAGGGAGAAGCAGACTCCCCACCGAGCAGGGAGCCTGATGCGGGACTCGATCCCAGGACCCTGGGATCATGACCTGAGCCGAAGGCAGACGCTTAACGACTGAGCCACCCAGGCGCCCTGTGCTTGCTTTTTTAATATTTATTTTTTTAAATATGTTTTAAATGTTTAAATGTTTAAAGTGTTTTTAAATGAAATATTTCTGACATAAAATAATAAACCCCCAGGTACCCATCTCCCGGGTTAGACAAGTGCTAATCATATTCTGCCCTATTTGCTTACTTCAGATCCCCCCCTTTTAATCAACTTTATTAAGGTGTAATTTGCATACAATAAATTCATACATTTTAAATAGTTGATTTTTGGCAAATGCACCCATGTCACCACCACCACCATAATCAAGATACAGAATATTTCCCTCACCCCAGAAAGGCCCCTCATCCCCCTGCCCTGCTGGATTTTTCTCCCTAGTTCTCAACATTATCTGAAATCACCTCATTTGTGTCTCTTTTAGTCTGTTTACTCTCTGCCTCCCCCAGCAGAGTGTATGTTCCATGAAGGCAGGGGCTATTTGCTCCCCAGTCCTTGCACGTTGTGGCCCACAGTCACTCTGTCAAGGTCATGATACTGTATCTATTATTCTTGTGCGCACATCATGACGCACAGAGAGATACATCGGTGGGGTAAGTTCCTGGAAATGGAAATACTGAGTCAACGGATATTTACTTTTTTTGCTATTGTAAAAGAGATACCTATCCCCCTTTCTCTCTTCTATCCCTTGTGTCTCAATCAGCGCCGTTGGCATTTGGGGCTGGATCATCCTTTGTTCTGGGGATTGAGGGGCTGTCTTGTGCGTTGCAGGATGTTGAACGGCATCCCTGGCCTTTACCCACTAGATCCCAGTAGCATCCCCCACCTCAGTTGTGACAGTCTGGAATGTCTTTAGATGGTGGTGGTGGCGACAGCAAAATTATCTCCATTTGAGAACCACTGGTCTATGTCTTTAGGCTAATTTCCTGCCATATTGTTTTGTTCCTCAGTTGGGTCCATCTCTAAATGAACCACCCTCGATGACACTCGATTTGCCAAATCCATTTTTCACCAGGTCAGCAGACTGAATTACAAGTTAGGATCCCTACCTGTAAAGCTGTATCATGAGATGAGCAGCTGGTTAGTTGTAGAAGCAGGGAAGCCTTCGCGCTAAGTCCACAAGGATACGAAGGAGCCAGCAGAATTCTCAGTATTTCTTATCTCAGGATAAATATGTCTGCAGGGTCAGACTCTGAGAATATAACATCTTCCAGGCCTTCGAGAACAAGGGGGAAACCCTAGCAACTGTGTATAGGGGCGCTCTGAACTTCCTCGATTGCTCAGGACACTGAGTTGAACATTCCTATCTTGAAAAACCTGCAAGCTCAAATGTAGAGCAGTAAAGGATAGATGAATGAAATGAAGGAGGCAGGTCCCATCTAGGGGGTTGCTGCACTGTGGCCAGATGTTGCCAGGTGGGAATGTGGGCCCAGCCTTGCCAAAACTTCCCGTTTTTCAAGAAAGGCAGGGAATCCAGATTTTTTTTGAAAGTGTGAAATATCTTGATTCTTGAATTTGATAATAATTATCAAGTAATTATGTTTAAACTTGATGTGGGCCAAATAAAAAACATCTAGGGGCTGACAGTTTGTAACCTCTGAGTTAATTGAGATTATTAACTCACTCAGTACAGAAGTCTTTTGGTTTGACTGGGGATCCAGTCAACACATGTTTATTGAGTATCTACTGTGTACCAAGCTATGTTCTAGAGCTGCCACTTGACATAAACTTGCTGGAATGACTGATAATGAAAGGGATGGATAGAGATTATGGGTGGGTGCGTGGGTGAATGGATGGATGTCTGGATGGGTGGGTGGATGGATGGATAAAGGAAGGATGGGGGATAGATGGTTGATGGATAGATGGATGGAAAAAGGAAGGATAAATGAATGGATGGATGGTGGATGGGTGGATGGGTGTATGGAGATTGAATAGCTGGTAGACGGTTAGATGGGTAGATACATAGATCAATCTGATCTTCTAGAGATATATACTAAAATATTGTAGAAAAATAATATGTCTGGGAATTACTTCAGAGTGATATGGGGAGTTGAATGAGGGTATAGATAAATCAAGATTGGCCGTGAGATGATATTTATTGAACCTGAGTGAGTTTCTTTGTACTTTTTTTTTTTTTTTTTAAGATTTTCTGTATTTATTTTGACAGAGACACAGCAAGAGAGGGAACACAAGCAGGGGGAGTGGGAGAGAGAGAAGCAGGCTTCCCGTGGAGCAGGAAGCCCATTGCGGGGCTCGATCCCAGGACCCTGGGATCATGACCTGAGCCGAAAACGACTGAGCCACCCAGGCACCCCTCTTTGTACTTTTCTGCCTTCTTTTGAATATGATTGGAAATTTCCTATACTGAAAATATTTGTTTTAATGTCCTTATCATTTAGAGGTACACTCTGAAGGATATACAGGTAAAATGACATCATGTCTGGGATGTGGTTTAAAATACTCAGCTAAAATTTTTTGCAAGTCAGCGTGTAGATGTGCTATGGCCTGAAGGTTTGTGTCTCCCCGAAGTCCACATGTTGGAATCCTAACGTCCAATGAGATGGTGTTGCGAGATAGGGCCTTTGGGAGGTGATGAAGGTGGAGCCCCCATGAGTGGAGGTTCGTGCCTTACGTATGAGGCCCCATAGTGCTCCCTCGTCCCTTCCACCAAGTGAGGACAGAACAAGAAGTCTGTGACCCAGAAGACAGCCCTCACCCAATCATGCTGGCACCCAGCCTCCAGAACTGTGAGAAAGAAATTTCTGTTGTTTATAAGACACCCAGTCTGTGGTATTTTTGTTATACAAGCCAAGACAAGTACAGACTAAGACACGATGAAGCAGCCTTTAGCAAAAGAAGTATTCTGATAATTGTTGCCACTGGGTGGTGGGTATATGGAGATTCGTTATACCGGCCTGTGTAATTTGTATATGGTTGCAAGTTTTTACGATAAAAATTTTAAAAAAGGGGCGCCTGGGTGGCTCAGTCGTTAAGCATCTGCCTTTGGCTCAGGTCATGATCCCAGGGTCCTGGGATCAAGCCCCGCATCGGGCTCCCTGCTCGGCAGGAAGCCTGCTTCTCCCTTTCCCACTCCCCCTGCTTGTGTTCCCTCTCTCCCTGTGTCTCTCTCTGTCAAATAAATAAATAAAATCTTTAAAAAAAAAAATGGGACAGAGAAGTGGGGGCCTCCTGTTTTCTAGGTACTTTGGGAAGTGTGGAAGGAATCATGCTCTGGGTGAATTTCCCACCAATGTGGTAGTGTTGATACCCAGGGAATGGGTATTTTTTAATGAGGGATGTCACAGTGAGACTAGAAGCATGGGCTCTGTTGTGAACTGCAGGTTGAGAACAGGTTTCTCAGCCACGTCGTTGCTCTGCAGGGTATTCTGCCTCCCAGTTATCCTCCTCCCAGTTACCCTGCTGGGAGGCAGAAGAGCATAGTGGTCAGATTATCTGGAATCAGCCTCCCTGGGTCCAAAAACTAGTGCTACCACTTTCTGGCTGTGTGGCCTTGGACATGTCATTTCCCTGTTTGATCCTCAGTTTCATCCATTAAATAAGAGTAATACTAACATCTTACAGATTCATTATGAATATTGAACTAGTTATTACATACAAAGTGTGAGCACAGAACTTGACATGTAGCATTTATGTGTTATCATTTTTTTTTTAAAGATTTTATTTATTTATTTAAGAGAGAGAGAATGAGAGAGAACACATGAGAGGGAGGAGGGTCAGAGGGAGAAGCAGACTCCCGGCTGAGCAGGGAGCCCGATGCGGGACTTGATCCCGGGACTCCAGGATCATGACCTGAGCCGAAGGCAGTCGCTCAACCAACTGAGCCACCCAGGCGCCCATTTTATGTGTTATCATTATTGATGCTTTGTTGTTAGTATGTTGTTGCTGCTATTAAGCATTCTAAGAGCAGAAAGAACTTTTTTTTTTAAAGATTTTATTTATCCATTTGAGAGAGAGAGAGAGAGCATGAGCAGGGGCAGGGGCAGAGGGAGCGGGAGAGAATTGGAGCAGACTCCGTGCTGACCACAGAACGGGGGGCTCCATCTCATGACCCTGAGATCATGACCTGAGCTGAAATCCAGAGTTGGACGCTTAACCGACTGAGCCACCCAGGCGCCCCTAGAACTTTCTGAGATAGATGGAATAATTGGGGGCAGAGGCTAAAAGAAGTCAAAGAAAGAGGCACCCATTGTCAACTGATCCACCCACAGAAGCCCATTTGTGAGCTGCTGGGGTCACTTTGCTGCATGGTAGGTACAAACGGAACTACAAGAAAAAAGCAACTTCCTGACCATTTCTTTTCCCTGCAGAATGAAGTAGAGCTGGGGGAGCTGCTTCTGTCACTGAATTATCTCCCAAGTGCTGGGAGACTGAATGTTGATGTTATTCGAGCCAAGCAACTTCTTCAGACAGATGTGAGCCAAGGTTCAGGTACAGTGTGACCCCTTCCCTCCCCCATTTCCTTAACGAGGCATCTCTGTTTGTTTGACCCAGGGCCAAATTTTTTTTTTTCTGCATTCCAGATACTTTTTTTTTTTTTTAAGTAATCTGTTCCCCCAACATGGGGCTCGAGCTCTTTTTTTTTTTAATTTAATTTTATTATGTTATGTTAATCACCATACATTACATCATTAGTTTTTGGTGTAGTGTTCCATGATTCATTGTTTGCATATAACACCCAGTGCTCCATGCAATATGTGCCCTCCTTGATACCCATCACCAGGCTACCCATCCCCCTACCCCCCTCCCGTCTAGAACCCTCAGTGTGTTTCTCAGAGTCCATAGTCTCTCATGGTTCATCTCCCCCTCCGATTCCCCCCCTTCATTTTTCCCTTCCTATCTTCCTTTTTTTTTTTTTTAACATATAATGTATTATTTGTTTCAGAGGTACAGGTCTGTGGTTCATCAGTCTTACACAATTCACAGTGCTCACCATAGCACATACCTTCCCCCATGTCTTATCACCCAGCCACCCCATCCCTCCCACCCCCCACCACTCCAGCAACCCTCAGTTTGTTTCCTGAGATTAAAAATTCCTCATATCAGTGAGGTCATATGATACATGTCTTTCTCTGATTGACTTATTTCGCTTAGCATATGCATTCCGGATACTATTAATAAAACCCCGCAAGGATAAACAAATAGCATTTAGAACTAGGCTGTTAGATTCAAGAGGGAAATAAACGATCAGATGTCTCTTAGAATGAGGCAGGTAAATGATGGTATCTCAGTAACCCCGTTCGAATGGGGGATTTGACTGAGACCATGTGTGATAACTCCTGACCTCTAGATCCTCTGTGCGCTCGCAGCCCCCAAGGAAGTGACCCACCTTTCCAGATGTTGTACCTGCAATGGAGATGCCATGCTCCAGGTGGCGCTAGTGTGTACCAGCCCTGCAGTCCGAGCTGCCGGAGTGCGGGGCACGCCCTGAGGTTTTTTTTCCCCCCCAGCTCATTTCAAGTGTACCTTGAATCTTTATAAATCCCAGCTCTGAAAATACTGTTGTATTTAAAGTGTCTACTTTATAGCAAACCAATTCAAACATGACTTTTCATGAAATGGAACAGATTACATTCCATCTGTATGGAGCCTCTCCCATGACAGAAAGGATATTATCATGAAAGTAGCCGGGGTCTCTGGGACCTCTTCAGCTCAGTGGAGAAACTTCTGTCTCCTCTAAGTACAGTAGCTAAAATAAATTACTTTTGCTAGAAAGTGACACCTGCCTTTAGAACACAACTCACATTCTCAAAAACCACATTATAAAAATAGAGGTTTGGAAGGGGCCAGTGGAGGAAAGGGTCTTAAGGCTGAAGAGTTTCAGACTCACCACGATAGGAGAGGCAGTATGATAAAATGATTAAAGGTCCTGGAGTCAAACTGCCTGGAACCAGGTCCTCGTTCTACTGCTTACAAATGATGTGGCCTTGGGGAAGATACTTAACCTCCATAAGCTTCAATTTCTTCATCTGAAAAATTGTGGTAACAACAGTATCCATCTCATTGAGTTGTTTAAACAATATTAAATTAGATAATGTACATGAATTTGTAAACTGTAAAGCGATCTAAGAACAAGTTATTAATCTGCCATCTCTGAGCTCCTGTGTATGGAGCTATGGGATCACTGACATGATAATGGATTTCTAGGGACAGAAAACCAGCACAGGCTCTGGGTCTGGCTTTTCTTCCACTAGTCTGATCTTAAGCAGGCCATTTCCTATCTTGAATCTTCAGTTTCTTCATCTGTAAAATGAGCACAATGCCTCACACATGCGAGGAGCTCAATAAATCTTGGATGGCTGGAGGAAGAGAGAAAGGGATGAGCAGATAAGCAGCTAGATGGGAAAAAGGAGGGATGGATAATAAATGGATGGATGGGAAAATGGATGAATGAAAGGAGAGGTATCCACCTGGACTGATGGATGGAAAGGTGGATGGATTGATGGAAAAAAGAGAGATGAAAGGATGGGTAGGTGGTTGGGTTGTCAGATAGATGGGAAGTTGGATGGATGGATGGATGGATTGAGTTTCATGAGCTCCAACATTCTATAATTCTGTGTCCAATTCTCAGACCCCTTTGTGAAAATCCAGCTGGTACATGGACTCAAGCTTGTGAAAACAAAGAAGACATCCTTCTTAAGAGGCACAATTGATCCTTTCTACAATGAATCCTTTAGCTTCAAAGTTCCCCAAGAAGAACTTGAAAATGCCAGCTTAGTGTTTACAGGTAGGTAGTGGTTCAGACCCTGATGAACTCCAGGTGAGTTCATCACTTACTGTCCTGTATTCCACTTACTGTCCTAAAGATAGGTGTCTAGAGATGGTAATATCTGGTATTCAGCTATCTGGGTTTGAATCCAACTGTTTGTGAAGTTGGTCAAGATTCATAGAACTGTAAAGCATAATTATTACCAATGTAAACTTTGAAGCCAGATTTCCTAGCACTTCCCCATAATTGCTGAAGCCTTGGGCAAGTTACTTGGCCCCTCTGAGTCTCAGTTTCTTCATCTCTAAAATGTGGGCAATCATAGTACCTGCTTCATAGGTTTATAAGATTCAGTGAGCTTGTAAAATTAAGTGATATCTAGTCTAAAATAATAAGTGCTCATCCTGTTAGTTTTGTTGATACGGTGATTCAAGTAGCTTTTATAGTCTCATAGGGAAACGTAATATGTCACCTAACTTGGAGAGGAGGATTTTAAAAGTCTTCATGTGCTACTGTGGTTGATTTTAATATATTGTCTTCAGGGTGTATTAGTTATCTACTGCTGCATAACAAATATAGTGACTTAAAACAACAAACATTTATTAAGCTCATAGTTCCTGTGGGTCAAGAACCCAGACATAGCTTTGGTGTGTGCGTCTGGCTGAGGTTCTCTGACAAGGCTGTAGTCAGGGTATTGGCTGGGCCTGCAGTCTTATCTTAAGGCTCATCTGGGAGAGGTTCTGTTCCTCAAGCGTACTCACATAGTTAGTGGTTGCCAGCATTCGGTTCCTCACAGTGGAGATGCATTGGACTGGCGGCTTCTGTTCCTTCCTGGATGTTGGCCAGTGACCTTCCTCTGTTTCTCACCACATGGGCTTCTCCATAGTGCAACTCACAACAAGGTGGATGGTTTCCATCAGAGTGGGCAGGTGAACAAGATGGAAGCCAGAGTCTTATTGTAACCTAATCTCAGAAACGACATCCTCTTACTTTTGCCGTATTCTGTTCATTAGAAGCAACCCAGTAGGTCCAGCTCACATTCCAGAATTACAGAAGGGTGTGAATACTGGGAGTTAGGGATCATTGGGAGCCATTTTAGAAGCAGGCTCCTACCATGTCGAGTTAATAGAAGTAATGGTTATTATTTCCTGTGTCCTGTTCCCAGCAGGGGCTTCAGCTTCATTTACTTTATTGCTCATATGCATCATAATTCACCCTGTCAAATCAGCATCATCCTCATCGGCTTACGGGGCTGGGGACTGAGGCTCAAAACCTAACCGATCCACCCAGTCTCAGACTGGTAGAGTCAAGATTTAAGCTCTCATCTTCCTAGCTGCAAAGATGAAGGGGTCTGCATTTCCCCAAACACCCAGGTAGTGCTGGCACTGAGGAACTGACCTCAAACTGAGGATTCGTGCTCCAGAGTAATGGGAAGCCTCATCTGTTTAGATCTAGTCTAAAATCCTTAGCTGCAGGTCTCCCAAAAAAGAAGGCCGTGGCTGAAAAAAATCCTTGCATGCAGGGCTTCCTCCGCACGGGCTTACTGCTTCTCATCACCAAGATTGCAGATGCTCTGTGCCCCAAGACTCCTCTGAGGCAGGTTGGTTCTGGGTTTTCTTAGGGCCTGTCACCCAGAGAGTCTGCATCCAATCAGGGCCTGCATGCACTAAGCAGGTATGACGGTCCTATCTGTTGAAGCCTGGGATGGTTGCTGTCCATGGGTCCCACTGTCCCCAAGGTTTCAGGTCGAGCAGAAGACCGTGATTCCACTGAATCCTTAAATGCTATGGAGCAGGCAGTGGGAACTCTATTGAACCAAGATAAGATCGAAGCATGGAGTATCGATTCCCAAGTCCCTACTGAGAATAAAGGACTTAATGTTGCACATTTAGATCAGGAGGGGACCCCAGGGGGGGCAGTGAGTGCCCAGAAGGAAAGCCCTGACACTTTTATATTTTCCTTAAGATTTTAGGACAAAAGTAGCACATGCTGGTCACAGTGAGTGACACAAGCAAAGGAGGAGTTTGGGTGGAGAAGAGCAGAGGGGTTAAATGTGCAGGCTGTGGAGCCAGGGCCTGGGTCCGGGCTTTGTGATCTTGAACAAGATCTGTATGCTTAGCTTTTCTCATCTGTAAAATGGGTGTAACCGCACCAGGACGACTTGAAGGATTGTTATGTGGATCAGATGAGAACAAGACATAATCTTTGCTGAGTAACGTGCCTCGTGCATAGCAAGCACTCAGTAACCGGGAACTATTATTAAAAAGCAATGTTACTCTCTTCTTCATCCCCCTTCCAGTCCCTTCTCCCCGGGGTCGCCACCTTTAACATCTTGGTGTGCCTCATTTCACACTTCTTTCCTCATTCACACAAACATCATCCGCATATAGAAGATTCAGCTCTTGGGCGCCTGGGTGGCTCAGTTGGTTGGGCGACTGCCTTCAGCTCAGGTCATGATCCTGGAGTCCCGGGATCGAGTCCCGCATCGGGCTCCCTGCTTGGCAGGGAGTCTGTTTCGTCCTCTGACCCTATCCCCTCTCATGTGTTCTCTCTCAAATAAATAAATAAAATCTTTAAAAAAAAAAAAAGAAGATTCAGCTCTTTTAGGAAGTTATTCATTCATTTCGGAAGTGGGTATGAAGCACTTTCTCTGGGCCAGACACTGTTTCCAGGTGCTGGGAATATAGCAGGAAACAAAACAGACAGCCCCCGCTCTTGGGGAGCTTGGCGGACCGGTCTGTGGACACCACCCTGAAACTGGCTTTTGTTTCATTAACCACTGCATGTGTCCAGTCCCTCCAGGTCAAAGCAAATGTGGACGCACCTAGCTCTTTATTTTTAATAATTGCATTACGCACGGTGGGGGGCAGGGGAGGGTGTGGGAAGGTGAGGGGTGTGTGACAGAGCTTGAGGTGTTGCAGTGAGAACTTTAGAGTACCCTTCCCAGAAAAACACCCCGAAGGACAGAAAACCTTGCCTTCTGTTCAGAGGTGTTTTTGAACCCCTTGAATCCCCTGTGTGAACCCCATCAGGCAAAAGCCTCAAACGGAAGTAGCACCCCTGCGCCCCGCCCCCACACGTCTGTCATTCATCCCACCACTTCGGGTGGCCGTCATCAGCTGCACCCATCAGACAAGGCCCGTGCTCTCCATTTGTGGAACATCTGCTTCTCCTGTTTAAATATTGGGGTTTCGTGCCCCCAGCTCAGGGGCACCTCTCGTCAGGTTAAAGCCCACTGAAAATATTCTTTCTAGAGAAGGAAGGATTGCAGGTCTTCTTGCCTTCTTAAGTAAGGGGTGCTCAACTCGGGCTACACTTCAGAATCAGCTGGAGCTTTCAAGTGCTACCGGGGACCCCTGGGTGGCTCAGCCGGTTAAGCATCTGCCTTGGGCTCAGGTTGTGATCTCAGGGTCCTGGGATCGAGCCCCACATTAGGCTCCCTGCTCAGCGGGGAGCTTGCTTGTCCCTCTCCCTCTGCTGCTCCCCCTGCTCGTGCTCTCTCTCTCTCTCTCTAATAGGCAAATAAAAATAAGTAAACAAGTAAAGTGCAACCAGTGGCCAGATCCCACCCCCAGAGACTCTGACCAAGCAGAATGAGCTGGGGACATCGACTGTCTCTCTATCTGTGTATATGTATTTTTTAAAGCACCCCAGATATTTCTAATGCTGAGTCAGGGTTCGAAACCATAGCTGTGAGTGGAAATCCCGGCTGGGATGGCATTTTACCTGTAAAGGGCACTGACCATAGTGATAAAAGAAATGCGGGTTGTGCTGGTATCTATCTAAGCAAAGCTACAATTGTGCCAAATTCGGATCCATGATGTTCTGACTTGCTTTATGTACCAGCCAGGGGAAAGAACTGTCACCTCCGGGCTAAGGATCTGAAACCTAGCCCATTAGCTTGTTTCCAAACACTTGATAACAAAAAAGTAAGGTTGAGCTGTGCTAGGAGCATTGGTGGAGAATCCTGGTAAAAGCCTGTAATTAGCCGGCAGGCTGGGCTGGCTGAGCAGTTCCGTTCCTGTGTGGGATGAGGGTTTTTCTGCAATTGTCAATCAGGTGATTTGTGCAGCTGAAGTTTAAAAAAAGGGGGGGGAATTGCTTTTCAACTCGTGAGAGAATGACGTGCAGCCCAGAGGCCTTCCGGGAAAGTGAAGTAGAATTAGCCACTGAGGTTAGTGGGCTATTCTTGGAAGTGGGGGGAGAAGAGAAAGAAAAAAAAGAAATAGCGCTTGATGAAGGCTTTGCAAAAAATCAAAAATAGAATTACTCTGTGATCCAGCAATTCCCCTTCTGGGTATATCCCCAAAAGAACGGAAAGCAGGACTCGAACAGACATTCACGCGCCCATGCTCACAGTGGTGTTATTCCCAGTAGCAGAAAGGAGGAAGCAGCCCAGGTGTCCATTGAGAGCTGGATAAATGGATTAATAAAATGTGATCTCTCTATTCAGTGCACTGTTATTCAGCCTTCAAAGGAGGGAAATGGTCACATGCTACAACATGGACGAACCTTGAAGACATTCTGTTAAGGGACATAAGCCAGATATGAAAGGGCAAATACTATAGAATTCTACTTATATGAGATATCTCCAGTAGACAGATTGATAGAGACAGAATGGAGAGTAGAGGCAGCCTTTGATGGCAGGGGCAGGAGGGGGTGGGGTTTAGCTCCCTGGGGCTGGAGCTGACCAAGTGTCAGTCTCCACAGATTGAAATTTTTTTTGAGCACCTATGTGCTGTGTATTCAATAGAGAGCCAGACATTCATGACCCACGTTCTCATGGCATTTAATTCTAACAGGGGGACAGACGGATGTTAGTCAAAGGCTGCAACAATCACAACGTAATTGTGAATTGGTCTAAGGGTTATGAAGGAGAAAAGCAGGGTACGTTGCAAATGCCCAGCCCTGTCTGGGGAGTGAGCAGGTGACAGTGAGCTGGGCGCAGAAGGTTGTAGGGAGTGAGGAGAGACCAGGCAGGCCTCCAGCCCAGAAGGGAATCTGAGGTCTGGGAGAGAAAT